CTGCTTATAATATACTTACATAGCCAACCCAAAACCAGCCTACAAGTTACACACAATATATATATACCCGATTGAGTTTATCTTCCTGTTTTGGCACACCATGTTGTTCCTTCCAGTGAAATTTTTCCCTGGAGATTGTGTCTCTCTTCCCTCTCCAAAACCACCATGTGTTGCCTGAGAATCGACCAACCAAATATTGAACACATAGAATTTATTGCTGATAAGAGCATTCACATTTGTTGGGTTACACTGCCAAATTACAGCAACTTACCCCAACCGGCAGTTGCATTGGCCCTGGACTAACCTCAGGTTAACAAACCTGCAAGTGGTTTTCAGCCTGTTTCAGGCTTAGGTCTGCTAAATTTAGTGGGTGTTAACCTGGCAGGATGACCGCAGGTTTAGTTAACCTGAAAATCTAGCCAACAAATGCAAATGCTCTAAGAACTCAAACCAGACCTAAGATAGAAAACACATACAAAAACAGGGGGCTTGGTGAATGGACTCCCAAACCCTGGTGTGGAAAGTCAAGTGTGTCCCTGGAGAATCGTTGACCTTCTCCGCTCCCCAAGACTACTCTACTCCAATTTGTTGTCTGGGGGAACTTGCCATAGTGCTAGCGCTTTTTTAGCAGATTTTCACTATACTATGCTGCACTACAGGCCGGTAACAGCACTACAGGGCCAAATTTTCACTAACCAGCACATTAGCACAGCATAGTGGTCCCTTTTTTGGGGCCTACACGTGTAGTGTTAGCGCAGACATGTGGGAATTCCCCTACACTATGCTAAAGTTTAGTGGAATTCTGCTACATTATGCTGCTCTAACCGCTACCGTTAGCCCAGTGGCCCACCGTTGACCCCAGCCACCCACCAATAGTACACTCTTGACCACCAGGAGGGTTCCTCTCAGCTGTCAGGAATGTACAGTCTCCTCCCAGATGTTTATAGCCATCTGTTTTGAGCTCCACACTGGGAATCCAAAAACTTTAAGTCACAACAGTTTGTGGAATGATGGAAATTGTGTTTCAAAGAATGGATATGAAAAAAAGAATAAGAAAAAACTGAAATTTGTGAAGAAGAGAAAAGAAAATCAACTTTTTCAAAAACTTTAACTTTTTGTTTGAGTGAAAAGTGAACACACAGAGGGCAAGTTTGGAACATGAAAAGAATGATTATAAATGAAAAATATTGATCCAAAAAAAGTTTGAGCATGGTGGGTGGACACCCTGCAGTCAAAATTAGTAGATTGCAGTACCAGACTTCCACATTTCTCAATGAATGGCCCCCTAGGCACCCTTTTTAAACCACCAAGTAGTTAATTTTATCCAAATTTTCAATTCCTATTATTCATTCCAGATCTCATACTATCACTTGGGAGATTTTATCTTTTCCTGAAAGAAATATCAGAGCTGTCAGTTTGTGTGATTTTCTGCTTTTTACTTTTTACAAATTTCATAATCTTGTTTATCATCATTATTTTTTCATATTCATTCTTTGAGACCCATTTTCCACCATTCCACAAAATCTTGTGACTTGGAATTCTTGAGTTCCTGGTGTGGAGCTGAAAACAGATGGATATAAACATCTGGGAGGAGACTGTACACTCCTAGACACAACCAATTAGAGTATTCCACCCTGGCCACTGAGAGAGGGAAACAGAAATGTGGAGAATGGATGGATTAAAGATAATTAAGAATCATTTTTACACAGTCAGCTACTTTGCTAAGGCCTGATGCTTGGATTTGAAGTGTCTTATTTCAGAGGCTATCTTTTTTGGAAATTGCAGGGTCAGAGTTGAAGAAGCTTTGGTTGTATTGTCCTAGAAATATTGGACATTTCCATGCAAACCTGGATTTCTTTTGAGAGAAGAGTTGTAGTCCATAATTTGAGTATATTTTGGATGCTATAATCAGCTAGGTGGCTCTTAGTAAACATTTGTTTTCAGATGTTGATCACTGAGAAACCTTGGGTCTGTTTTGTGTGTGTTCTGGTGGGATCAGATTGCAGTGGTTGAGCTTGGGATTGGCAACATGTGCGCTTCTTCTACATCAACCAACCCTTTGAATGCCTTGAATGAGTTGGGCTGAGGGTCCAAAGCCAGCCCCAAGAAGTAGTCACAACTAGAGGCAACATCCCAAGGAACAAATCAGGACCAGCTTCTTGTTGGCAATCTCCATCAGTTTGGTCTGGCCACCTGTAAGGATTTTCTTTAGGCATCCAGTCTTGGTTAATTTATACTCTGCTCAAGAGCTTAATTCAATGGTGCAACAAATACAATACATGTATTTTGTATTCCGTTTATCATGTTGAAATACATATATTTCTGATGTATCTGTTATCAGATACAATGCACAGTATTCAAAAACTGTTTATTGGCAATACAGATACAATACATGTATTCTATTTTGCTTAAGTGTCTGACAACAGTTTCAAAAATTCTTTGGCCTTTAAATTTGCAGTTGAAAACCAATCGACTCCAATGCAGCAGGTAACCAACATTGGATGCTTTGATGGGTCTGTTTAGACCCATTTTAAGGCTGATAAGTGGGGAGATTTTCCTCAATAGATGTCATGTGAGTGCTTTGGTCAACCAAATTTAATTTTGACCTTCTGTGCCTCACTGACTGGAGAGAATTCATTCTGGTTAAAGAGGTACAACAACCTCACCAAGGTCAGTGAGGTTGTTCAACCAGAAGGAACCCCCTCTGGTCAGTAAGGTATCTGTACCTCACTCACCAGAAGGAATCCCTTCCATGCTTTGGCCAGCCAACTCCCATAATTTTTTTCTTAAAAAAAAAAACTAACAAAACAATAATAAATTTGAATGGCTGACTCCCTTAGCTGGCCATCCATTTAGAGGAACAACTTCCAACAGACATCTATCGAAATTCTTTGGGGGTATTCAATGAATCCTTAGGAGTTCATTAACCAACTCCCTCCAGATTTTGGCTTAAACATTATGGCTAATCTAGTATCCACTGGCACTGGCCATCGGACTTGTTGTGTGGTGGACCTATCATTTTGATGGTAATTCTGTTTTTACTTCTCTTGGAGCTCTTCATTATTTCCTTGGTTGATAAGATTATGATTCGTTTTGTTCCTTATTATTTTGAGGTGTGAGCTCTTGTTTAGTCAACTTCATGTTATTGAGGATCTGTGCCTCCTTTGCTTCAAACCGTCATTGAACTTACAAACTCAATCAAGATTTATACCCTTTTTGTTAAGAAGACTCAAGCCTGACTTCAGACCTTACAAGTTACATGAATGAATTTTGTTTGATTACAATTAATTGCATAGGTCCAACTTGTCCCTACCCTCCTTTGTTGGAGTGGTAAAACACTTGATGCATTTTGCCAACCGGTTTGGAGGGTCCCTGAGGGACATTGCCCCTCCAATGGGGACTTTCTTAAGTCAGAACTCGTCCCAAGAGTTGTGTAAATAGATTGAGAGTGTTTCAAGTATCCAAGTTCATGGTGTGATCTCTTGAAGAAGTTTGTGTACTTGTGGGGGGCCCGCAGTTTTTCAAAGAGGCTTGAGAAAGTGAACCACAAGCTGTGTTCCAATAAACCACCACGTTGAGATGGACATCTCTCAACTCCTCAATAAAAGTCTGTTGTACAAAAGAAAAAAAGCGGAAAGGGTACAAATAAGAAGGATCAAACCAGATGGCCGACTCAAGTGATACAGGAGAACTTTCCAACTCAGACAGCATAGAAAGCGTTGAAGGATCGAACCAGGTGGCCGACGACTCTACTACTGGAGACCCTTCCGACTCAGACAGCATAGAAACCGTTCTTTCATATGCCGAGTTGCCTCCAGAAGGAAAAATCAGTCAGTTAACCTCCCAAAGTATAGTTTCAAGTCGATTGAGGACCTTTTTACTGACTCAAATGCTTCTATGTCTGTAGACCGAGCCATTATCAAACGATTCGAATATCTGGTAAACAGATACTCCGACTGCCCACAACAAGATTTTTGATTTCTCAGAGGGAACGAGGGACATCATTCAAGAATTTAACATCGCTCGTAATCGAGCTCACGAACTGGATGAGGATGATGATTCCACCAAGCAAAACGTTTTCGACGATCTGCATATGCTGTATCTACCACTCCTGCAGGATTCACTCGGTCTCCTTGCAGATGGACTAGACCCATCCGATCTGATCGAGGACCATTTTGAATCATCAAAGCATGTCTTCACGCTTCAATACGAAATCAAAGCTGACATTAATTATATTATATCAACCATTGCCAGGCTCTATCCAGAACCAAGATCGATTCGGGCTGATGATCATCATCTCAATGGATTCAAGTCCTACAGACTTCTCCGGATCAGAGAAGCATTCCTTGACGATGGATTCATGGCCAACTGGTGCGATATTTGTCGGACGGCCCGCCAACTGTTTGAAGAGATCGAAGCTCATCCGGTCAAAATTAGGGAGAAGCTGCAAGGCACGATCGGAAGCTCAGACCAGCCGGTCGAAGGCACGATTGAAAGCCAGTTCAATGCCACATATGAACTTCTGAGAACTCATGTGGCCAAGGGAATATCTGTGATCGACGTGGTCATCGGATGTCTAAAGGGATCTGACCTCGAGCTTGTCAAAGCATCTTGGTCGGACGACTTACTCAAGATCGACGCTCATCTAAACCTTTTCACTGCCCAGGTCCATTCTCCATCCTTCGAACTAGCCAACACCACCCCGGAGATATTGCTGGAATCGAGGCCGCTTCAGCGCAAACAAGTCATCAAACTCGTCCGATTGACGATCCCAATCTTGAAGTTATCAAGACTGTTTTTCATCAAGATCTCCTCCTTCTCCTCCTTCTTCTCTCAACAACAGCAACAACAAGATAATCCGATGGAGAAGGATTTAAGAGCAAGGGTACCGGGTTTCTTCTTCACACGAATGAGTTCCAAACAACTCGACTCCTTTGCCCAATCGATCAAAAACCTCGCCCAAGAGCTCTTGAATGTTAAGGAATACATCGATGCTGCCGATCAAGCTCACGGAACTGTACATCCACAAGAGCTGATGGAGCCCACCGATAGGATCAAAGCTAATTTGGAAGCTCATATGCTTCTTGTTTATGTGTATTTGCTTCCGAACATCATCGACAACTCGCCTCCGATCTCCTCTCCTCCTCGTCATCTTGATAATCGCGTCGGCTTGTCCGATTGGCTTGCTCATTGGAACATTCTCTTTCAAACTGCTATTCATAACCTCAAAGATGCGATCGCAGCTTATGATTATTAGCTCTCAGCTTCTAGCTTGCCTTGTCCTCTTTTCTTTCCTTTTTTTCTTCTTCCATGACCTATATTCTCTGCTCTGCATGATCGGTCTTTTATATCACCTCTCCATCCAGCCTCACCCTTGAGCAAAAAGAAATCAACAGTGTGTTTTGGTGAAGATAATTCACAAAAAAGAGAAAACAAAACAGAGATAACTGTGTTTTCAGCTTGTTTCTGATCGCTTCTTTGTATGAAAGTCGAATCCTGATACGACGAGATCTCAAGTTTGAATGAATGTAACAAAAGTGGAACTCTGTGTGGCTAAACCCAAATAGTTTATCGACAACGCGTATCTTCCTTCCAGGACTCACTGTGCCAGAACAAGGAAGGAAAGAAACAAGAGATACCTGATACATACAGGAACTTGGATACCCATTTAAGATGACGACGATGGCCGAGCCAGCAGCAGAGACAAACAAACCATCAGCCTGATTCTCGTGGCTTTCGATCTCGGCCAAGGTATTATTGGCATCTCGGCAGTAAGTCATATCATCCTCAACAGGAGCAATCCGTCGACAAAAATTCACTGACAATTCCGGACTTCCCATTTATAGGTACTTGCACGGTTGATTTCGTTCGTTTACAGATCCAGTCGTTCAAGGGCTTTAAGGATCTCCTCACCAAGTTCCAACCCCAACCACCGACCGATCCAGTTGGCGCACCAACTAAATAATCAGGCACCACCGCCGAACAACGAGGGACCGCCGGCAAATGAGGGACCGTCGCCAAATGAGGGACCGTCGGCCAATTCGCATGATGACCAGCAAGACCTCTACGTTGCTCTCTCTTGAGGAAATCAGCAAGCGGGAAGAGCTCTTGACACGCTTGGATTCCCATCTTCTCCCTCTCCTAAAAGAGCAGATCGACGAGCTCTGCGAATCGATGGATCGTTGGGCATTTTAAACAATCCACATCGATCCTCCTCGCGCGGATCTTACGGATCCAATTGGAACTCGAACC